CATGAAAAGTACATTTTTCTTTTTTTTTTTTTTGAGACAGAGTCTGGCTCTGTCACCCAGGTTGGAGTGCAGTGGAGCGATCTTGGCTTACTGCAACCTCCGCCTGCCGGGTTCAAGTGATTCCTTTGCCTCAGCCTCCCGAGTAGCTGAGATTACAGGCATGCGCCACCATGCCTGGCTAATTTTTGTATTTTTAGTAGAGACGGGGTTTCACCATATTGGCCAGGCTGGTCTCAAACCCCTGACCTTGTGATCCGCCCGCCTCAGTCTCCCAAAGTGCTGGGATTACAGGCGTGAGCCATCGCGTCCGGCCACATTCTCCTTTTCGTAACCAATGAACAACAAACTAACATTGACACAAAGAAGAAAAGAATGATCTCAAAATCTTGTCTCATTCAAGGAGAATACAGTGTGAGATTCAAAACATATTCTTCCCTGAAAAATTGCAACTACTTCCCATATGCCTAAAAAACGAAAACAAAATAAAATGTGGAAACATGCATGTGATTCATTAGCCCTCACTGGATTTAAATTTCTGTCTGCAGTAGACTACGCTAAACATCTGAGGCTTTTGTTTTATTCTGGCTATGATCACATGAACCTGTTTTAAATGAAATTAAAACTGTTTTAAAATGTTAGTTTTTAAACTTCCTACAAGATATCTCCTTTCACCACAATAAATTGACCAGCATTTTTACATCAAATACATGGTGTACACATGGAAGTGGAAAAAATAAATTTATGTCTTTTAAACTTTCTGTTTCTAGGTAGATACCTCCGTTCCTATTTCTTAGAAGTGTGGATATCAAGGTTTACCCTGGAATCTCTCTCTGGAATCTCATCAACTCAGTGCCTAGCAATGCTTAGCAGAGTGTATGTCTCTTTTCCCTCTTTGTTTCTGACTGCTGTTAAGTCCAGCATTAATTTACACTTAAGAGTTTCATCCACTTAAAACTTTATACCAGTATGTCTCCTATATTGAAAGAGGGCAACTCGATAGCTCAAAATTCATCCGCACACATAGAAGAGAAGTTTCCATCTTGTAAAGCTAACATTCATCATTCAATATTTTAATGTACTATAGAATTTTCCTTAAACTATATATTTTTCATATGAAGCTGTCATAAAACTGAGGAGAATATCTTCTCTGATTTCAAACCCATCAAGTTACGTTTTTAAAAACTACTTTCCAAACCCCAGGGGCAGTATACTTGAGGGGGCAAGCACATCAGTGTCTTTAGAAAATGAGTTGAGAAAAGTCAAATTGGATTCATAGTTGAACGTTTATTATTGGTACCAAAGAATCCATCTGACTGAAAATGTAACCACTATTAGCACTAATTGTAGTTATACAGCTACATTGAAGTGAAGCTGCATCCCATTATTTCAATTATTGAAATCTTATAGGCAGGTTGTTTAATTTGTCTCATCCCACTGTCTATCCAACAGCTTTCTACTGCACAGATTGTTAAGAATGATTCACAAACTGTTGCTGCCTTCAAACTATATACTATAAAAGGTAGCCAAGAAGTAATTGTATGTTGTAGCGAACATAAAATAATTTGTGGCTTCAAAATATGTTTTTGACACAAAGCCTGCCTGCCCATTGTAGAAAATTTTGTCAATTCATGTGAAAATATTTATTACCTGTAACCATAGATACAAAAAATCAATGTGTGTGTTGTGTAACATTATGTCGGTAATGTACTTGTTACTGTTTTGAGATTTCTTTTGGTCTAGATTACTGTTCTGCCAAACAATTTTTTATTATACCAGGGCAAGTGATTGCTGTACTAAATTTGCAATTGTAATCATAATTTTCTTGGGAATGCTAAATTATGTCTTAATTTTATTCAAAAGCTTTTATTTTTAAAGTAATTAAGCTTATTGTTGACTGATATTTACCATCCAATGTTCCAGGAACACTAAAAGAATACACTTTGTACGTAATCTTCCATTATAGCACAGTGCTTGAGAGCAGCTATTTGATATAACAGCATTCAGTTGAGTTTTCAAACCAAAGAACTAAAATTATAGCAATTTCACTTGAAATCCATAAATCCATGCACAGGATTGTGTTCAACAGAATCACTAAATGCTATTTGTTATTCAAAGATGAATGAATCAATAACAAAATAGAACTGATAAATCATTAGCACTTTAATGCAGAGTGGAGAGAAACTAATAAATCATGCAGTTCAAGCACTCATTTTCCTTATGGCATGTTTGAAAACATAAAACATGCAATGATGAGATGCAGGTCAATATGAATGAACAATATTACAAGACTGCTCAAAAGCATTTCATTTTACAAC